TCAACCCAGGTGTGTCAAGTTGACACTAAAGCTATCCAGCACAGCAGTGAAGAAGAAGAAACCCAGAACAAAGATAAAATATTTTCAACAAAATCATAAGGAAAATTTCCTAAATCTAAAAAAAGAGATGCCTATTCAAATGTAAGAGACATACAGAACACCAAATGGATAAAGCTGGAAATTAAATTCTCTAAGTCATATAATGGTTAAAACACTAAGTGTACCAAGGGGAAAAAGGCTATTTAAAGCTGAAAAAAACAAAGACCAAGTCACATATAAAGGCATACCTATCAGCAGCTGATTTTTCAATGAAGTCTAAAAGCCAGAAGGAGTTGTGCATGCTGACATCATGCACAACCCAGAAGCCTGGAAGACTGTTTCCATATGGTCATGCACCTCCTCCCCTGGTTGTTACAATTCTTCTGCCCCCTCTTCCACAATACTCCTTGAGCCCTGGGTGGGTGAAGTTTAATACAGCATTTCCAAGGGCCCACACTCCAAAGACTCTTATTCTCTACACTTTGGTCATTTGTGGCCTTTTATGTTCACTGCCCTCTGTTGCATGAGGGAGCTTCAGGAAAACAAAAAGCTTGAAGGACTTGGACCAAAGTACAACAAATTCTAAAAGATGACAGGTGCCAGAAAAAACTACTATCCTCAACAAAACTATCTGTCACAATTGAAGGAGAAAGAGAAACTTTCCCTGATAAAATAGGCTAAAGGAATTTATGATCACCAAGCAGCCGTACAGAAGACGCTTGAAGAACTACTACGGACTGAAGAAAATGGTAAGTATATCCATAGGATAGCTATATATGCAGCACACCACCAAATTGTTGATCCGTTATGGATTGTTTTCCAATTTTTCAAAAATAATTTGGTTATGTGGTTATCAACCATGAACTCTGTAGATGATAATGTTGTGCCACAACATTGTAAGTTTGGACACACCTGTGAGTGAAATTACAGCATAGCACATTGGTCAGTTGTAACTTGCCCAAAAGAAAAAATATCACACCCATGTTTTAAGTTTCCTACAATAAATCCTTGAAATAAATTACACAGAAACAATTTTTGAATGTTAAATAAATTGTTTTAAATGGCAACTAAAGGGTATTCACTGACAAGCATTTAGCATTATCTCCACAGCCTACCTGAAAGCTATATCCACAAAGATACTGCTGATTGGTGCTGTTCACCACAGTTTAGAATTTACTTCAGGAAGCTCATTGGAAGAATTTCTATCATCGTTAAGTGCCTGGCTTATTTATTTTATTTTATTTTTTTTTATGTGTATGAGTGCATTGCCTGTATGTATGCAAGTGCACCTGTGTCATGCAATGCCTGCAGAAGCCAGAAGAGGATGCTAGATTCCCCTGGAATTGCAGTTGTGGACAGTTTTTAGCAGTCATCTAGGTGCTGGGAATTGAATGCAAGTCCTCTTCAAGAGGAGTCAGTGCTCTTAATCACTGAGCCATCTCTCGAGCCCCTGGTTTATCTATCTTGTAACACTGACTGCCAGAAAATTCACAACTACATTTGTTGGTCTATAGAGGGTGTGTCCCCAGGAGCTGAGGGGCAGGGCCTGTTGCAGAGAATTGACTGTAGAGAGCGAGGAGGGAGGGGCTTTTGGCACCATCTTGGAAGAGAAGCTGCAGGTGGTGTGGGGGCTGTGGCACAGAAAGGAATGGCCCCAGTGTCTAGTGCGCGTGGACAGAGAGGGGCCATTTACCAACCTGGGGCAAGACAGCAAGGCCACAAGGAGTGGGCAAATGGTAACAGTGACTGTGGGCGGGCCGCTGAGCCACAGGGCAGAATGGGATGTAGGGCGTTCCCTTGGTATGGAGGCTGGTGTTTGCCTTTGTAAGTTACTCTATTCCACCTCCCCAGGATATAAATTATGAAAAATTCAGGTAAAGATGTGCTATGTGGTTTGTCTGCCCATGCCAGGAGCAAGGGACCCTAAGAGAACTCAGGGGACAGAGGGCAAGACCTGTCATTGTGTATTTTATGCACTCATGCAAATAAAGAGATTTGTTTGCTAGTTCTTCATTGTTGGTGAATTTTATGTATCAACCTAGTTTGACCAAGAGGCTCCCAGATTAAACACCATTTCTGGGGTATGTGAGAGGGTGTTTCTGGATGATATTAGTACATATGTAATTGATATAACCAATTGTTCATATGGTCTAAATTACAGGTGTCACTCATTTGGTAATGTGTGATCTGGTCAAATTGGACAATTTATGATATTGAACGTTTTGGTAAGGTATGAAAAAACAGACTATGGCTGAAGAAAACGTGTTCTTAAAAGTGAAAATGGAGCAGTGCATGGTGGCGCGACTATAATCCCAGCACTCAGTGAGGCAGAGGCAGGTGGATCTCTGTGAGTTCAAGGTCAGCCTCGTCTCCATAGCAAATCCAGGCCAGCTAGGGCTACAGGGAGACCCTGTCTCAAAAAGACAAAAAAAAAAAAAAAAAGGTGAAAATGGAGGGCCTGTAGAGATGGCTCAGCGGTTAAGAATGTTGACTGTTCTTGCAGAAGACCCAGGTTTGATTTAATCCCAGCACCCACATGGAACATGGAAGCTAACAACTGTCCTTAACTCCAGTTCCAGGGGATCTGACAGCCTCTTCTGTCCTCCATGGGCATTGCACGACATGGATGCACTTACCTACATGCAGGTAATACAAGCATACACATAAAATAAAAATAATAAAATTTTTAAAATGAAAATAGATTTTATTAGGTTATAATTAAATCAGATCACTTAGGTCTATAACTAAGGTAAAAAACAATCAACTATACTTTTTAGGAATCAAGTATAAACCAAAAAGGCCCAATTACAAGCTTCAGAAATATAGAAAACAATGGTTCCTAATCATGTGGACATTAAGTCTGAATAGGACAACAGTCTAACACTGGGTGGTGAGTTGAGTTGTGTCCCCTCAAAATTCATAGACTGAAACAATTGAAGCCACCCAGTACCTTAGAATGTGACTTTATTAGGAGATAAGATCTCTGTAAAAGTACCCAAGTCATTATAGTATCCTATAACCAAGTATGTGGAAATAATCAAAATAGTAGAAATTAGGGACACCAAACATACAAGGAAAACACCATATTAAAATAAAAGCAGACAAAATAATGTTTCTACTAGTTAAAGTATGCCAAAATTTGATTTAAAAAAAAATCACCAAACACTAGGGGAGAAGCATCAAGATATCAGTTCAATGAGTTCTCGAAGGAACCAGCCCTATCAACACCTTCATCTCAGGCTTTGGGCCTCCAGAACTAACAGACCATCATTTATTCTTGTTTACTCCATTCAGTTTTGGGTAATGTGTACATCAGTCATATCAAACTGATATAATGTAGAATGAAAAAAGGGAAAAATAGTTAATAAACAAATTTCAATTTTTTTAGTAATAAATATCTTTAGCATTCAAAGAACTATGAAATAACTGGCACTGGGCTATCCCTTCAGTCACACAGATCAATAGACACACAAGTTACACATAGCTAAAGAAAACTAACAATTACTTATAAATATGATTATGTTACCTCTATTGTTAATATTCTCAGCATATTAGTAGACTTAGAGTCCCTACTATGCACTATAAAGAGGATAGAGGTTGGAAACACTGAAAGATTCTTAATAGAATCCACACATTTTTCAGTTTTGAATAAGTATTAAGTGAGCAAACATAATACTTTGTAAGTGTCCCATTGTTCTCTAATTGTTATTGTTTTAACCTAAAAGCCTGTCTCCATAAGACTAAGATCTGCGAAATGTAGTACTGATGTAGTACAGACATTCAAAAAGTAAAAACAGCAAACAATTGGAGAAAGAGTACATGGAAACCCTCATATTCACAATATCCTCAAAAAAATCTAGGAATAAACTTGACAAAAGACATTAAAGATCTCTACAATGAAAAATTTAAACCTTTGAAGAGATTGAGGAAGACACCAGGAGATGGAGTCTCCATGTTCATAGACTAGAAGAATTAATATTGTGAAAATGACCATCCTACTGAAAGCAATATATAGATTCAATGCAATTCTAATTAAAATCCCCATGACATTCTTCACAGAATTCATCGTAAAATTCATATGGAATCACAAAGGACCCCGGATAGCCAAAGCAATTTTGAGAACAAAGAGAAATGCAGGAGGGATTACCATATCAGATCTCAAATTATATTACAGAGTGCATGCAATTTCAGCCACCTGATATTTGACAAAAGTGCCAAGAACACACACTGGATAAAAGACAGCATCTTCCACAATTGGTGCTGGCAAAACTGGATCCCCACATGTAGAAGGATGAAACTAGACCCTTATCTTTAACTCTGAACAAAAGCCAACTCCAAATGGATCAAAGACCTCAGTGTGAAACCTGAAACTGTGAACTTTTAGAAGAAAACATAGGCAGTACCCTATAAGATATAGATGGGGGGAGCGCACTGGAAAGGTGGTTCAGTGGTTTAGAGCACTGGCTTCTCTTGCAGAGGACTGGGTTAGATTCCTAGCACCCACATAGTGGCTAACAGCCATCCATAACTCCAATGCCAGGGGATCTGACACCCTCTTCTGACCTCTGTGGGCACTACATGACACAGATGCACTTACACACATATAGGCAATACACTCATACACATAAAATAAAAATAAAATATTTTTCTAAAAATATTTAGGTGCAGGAAAGGACTTTCTGATTCAATAAAAATTATGCAAAAAGTAAAAAATTATGACATTGTCAAATAATGCCAGGTTTAACAAAAAATCATTAATTAAATGTTTAATCATGTAAAGCAATGAAAATATTAATTCCTTAAAAATTAACTTTTTTCCAATAATTTCTTCCATTATTGTGAAAGATTAAGTAATTTTAATCACACTGAATGGTCCTATCACACTGAATGGTCCTATTGAACTGGACCCTAAAAAATCATCACCAGACAAATTCAAAGATAAAAGTCTTTAATGTACTTACCACTTTCAAAACAAGCATCAAAGGTAAGATGTCCTTTCTTGGCCTGCCCACAGTATCCATTTGGAATCACTATGTATTTGCTCACATTTCCTCCAATGACATCATCATTTCCCACATGGTTGCCTATTTTTCAAAAAAGAATAATATTAAACAGAAATCCAAGAGCATTTGGCAATAGAAGTCCAATAATATTTGTAACATTATTTAACTTCTTTCCCATTCATTGAGTGGACAAAAATATGTAGGAAAACTAATTAAATGCATTTTGTGGTATAGTGGAAAGAAAATACAATTTGAAATCTAGAAGATATAGGCTGAGATCTTACCTATATTACATAGTAACTTCAGGTCTCTAATAAGAACGAGAAAAGTTCATTTATCTTCCAAGGTTGTGGTATAGTATCACTACTAAAATCCAAAATATTTTAATGAAGCTGAATCAACCATTCAACAACTGTTATTGTATATAATTTGTCATACATAGATAGCAAATTGTTTTAATATGAATGAAGAAATACTTGTACAAATATCAGTATAACTTCCTCATGTTCTATCACCAAATGTAATCTAAGAACTATCAAATTACAATAAAAATTCTATCTCCTGAGAAAAACTGATTTTTTTAAGGTTATGGGCTTCACTTCCACCAAAGATGGAGAAAAATGGAATGCACATTGCTTCCAACCAGAAAAGTATGCATAAAATCATTACATTCTGAAATCCATCATAGAACTGAGATCATACACCAACCACCTCACCTGACATCAAAGGAAAAGAAGGCCTCAGTACCAAGAAGTGAGATGGAAGAATTGACTCCTCTGTGACAGAATACAGGAAGAAAAATGCTGGCTTCCATATGAGTGACAGAAAATCAAGATACTTTGAGCACATATTAGAGTTGATGGGTTATTAATTTTTTTAAAAGGACATGAAATTGGGGGTAGGGAAGAAGGAGTGGAACTGGGAGGTGTTAAGGGGAGGAATTATGGATGAATATGTTTAAAATACATTTTAAGAAATTCCCAAAGAATTAATGAAAATATTCTTTTTAAAGAAGTAAGGATCAAGTATAAGGACTATGAGCATAGAGAACCACAAGAGTCATAGGAACACTAGGAACACTCAGTGGACGAACTCATACAGAGGGACATCTGTGTGTGTAAATTGACTTGATAAGCCTTTACATATAAGGTAGAATGCATGAAATCCTGTGGGTAGGATATTGAGGGGTACAGATAGGGGAGGGGATCTAAATATGATTAATATGTACTGTATGAAATACATAAAAACTCAGTAAAATAAACATTGAAAAAACTAAATTTAATAAAAATATATGTAATATTTAGTTAAATTTTCTTAATATTT